CATCAGGTCGGGGTCTTTGTGTGTGGAGTTTGCATGTTCTCCCTGTGTTTACGTGGGTTTCCTCAGGGTACTTCCGCTTCCTCCCACCGCCTAAAGACATGCAGTTTGTGGGGATAGGTTAATTGATTAATCCAAATCGCCCATAGGTGTGAATGTGGGAGTGAATGTGAGCGCAAATGCCTGCGCTCAGGCATAATAATTTTCTCCTATCCCAGCCTGTCCAGCGCCCCCGTGACCCTGAAAAGGATAAGCGGAAGCAAATGGATGGATGATGTTGTTATTTTTCTCTGAGTTATTGATTCTATGGGCTCAGTCACTCATTTTGGGAACTTGTAAATTTTGGTCATAATAAGGGTCAAAAAGCAGGATTATCCAGAGTGCACTCATTGGCTAAGGACGTGCTGTTTGAACATGTTCTCCTCAAGGCTTCATAAAAGAATCTCACAAAACAGTCAGTGATGTCATAGTCACTATGTTCATCTTTTATGATATTTATGACAATAATGTGGGAACCAGAGGTAACAGAATATCAATGACATTCAGCAACTTTAACAGCGACAGGCAAAATAACTGCTGATGACATAAAGTGGGCAGGTTCTGAGTTAGACTTCTTACATTCTACTTGAATGGTGGAAGCGACTACCAACGGGAGTGAAGGATACGGTTGACTGACATATGATGGAATGCTTTTAATGTTCACTAGTGACCAGTCGTCAGTGATGAAGCCACAGGCACCAAGCAAACTGCTTCTTGTGTGGACGCCCTGTTAAAGTCTGAATATTCTGGCAGCTGCTACTTAAACTTCATCAATCCTTTTTTAAAACCAGCTCTTGCAAGCTCTCACGCTTTGTTTTAGTGCCATTCTAAAAGTTTGGTGTAATAAATAAACAGGCTTCTTGGGCTAAATCAAATATGAAATGTGACTGGCCAGGTTCAATGTGCATGCCTATGCATGTCTGTGGCATGAAATATTTTGGATATCCTGCTTGAGATCACGTGTGGATCCTGCTTGCACTCCTAGTTGGCCTTTGACTCATGTTATATTTACTGAAGTAATTTCAGAGACTGATGTTTTCCCTGCTAATATCACTAGCTTGTTTTGTCACTTGTTTTATTACTTTTTTTACTTCCTCTTTCTTGCACTGCCCTTGCAGTGCACACAGGGAACTAAAGGTCTGCTAGAATCGGCTGCGCTTTCTCCGCTCCTGTCCACCTCGTGTCCTCAGGGGAAACCTCAGAATGCTCATTCCTGCCCAGAAACCAGCCCAGCGTTGAACTCTGACCCCACATCGGAGTTCTCTAAAGGCTGCAGGGGTAACCAAACGTCCAGCTCCCACGGCGATACTTCTCGTCCACGTCACACCAAAGCTCGCTCAAAGAAATGCAGACGAGAGGCTCTGCATATTCCCAACCCTGCATTTGATGTCCCAGTTTCCCCTACCTCTCCGGACGCTGCCCCTGACTCCAAAGCAAGGAGCCACAAAGGAGGCAGCCTCACCCCGTTGCAATGACTGTCTTGAATGATGTTTTTCACAAGTCAAACTCTGTTTGAGGCTTGCATGCTGTAACACAGTCAGATCCAAGTTATATGATTTTTTTTGTTTGGTTATTCCTGTTGGTTCTCTGAAACTCCAGGAGCGTTGAAGATGTTTGGTCACTGAGTAAGACAATCACAGTGGAAATAGGACAGATTGGATGAAGAGGCTTCTAGAGGCAACATAGCGTTGGTGTAGAGAAAAGTTGTAAGAAGGGCTGTGAGCTGTAGATTCTTGTGTAAAAAAACAAATTTACCAGCATGTCAGATTTCACCAAATTTGTGAAACAGCGGCTTTAATGTATCAGGTGGATGGAAGCTCTGAATTGTGTATATCTATAATGAGAGGATCCTTGAAGGGAAAATCCACCCAAAATGTTCACATCTCAAGCTGTACAGGCAGTGATTAATGGAACAAGTCGCAGGACTCGTAGACAAAAGCACTGTCCTCAAAACACTTTCTTATGGAATCACCTGTTTAGCTCACTGGGTTAATCAGGCAACCCATTTGCCTCAAGACATGTCTTCCCCCTGGTTTTCTCCCAGGCTTCCTGTCTTCTCTTTGCTCTCCTATTGCAATATAATCCATATAAAATGGTACAGAATTTATATGGAGTAAATATTTAGTCACCACAGCCACCACAGGTAGGTAAGGTTTGGCCACCCCTTCTGCCCAGTAAGTGTGAAACGGCAATGTCTGCAAAAGAGCCTTTACTGTACAGTGGTTGAAATATCTTGTAATTTATTCATTTGGATTGTTGTAGGGCTTTAGGGGTATGTCTGCTCTGTACCACCACCTGTCATTGTCTGTTCTGCTAATTTAAATCTCTGAACTGGATCTCTGGGCTGTGTTTGAGGAGGTGATTCTTTTTGGATCACTTTTAATTAATTATTGATACTCTTAATAAGCTTTTGTTTCAGTTTTACTATAGGGAATTTATTCTTCTGTTACTTGACACTTTTAAAAACTATTTTTTTTTAAAGTTTTACATAAAAAATGCTTGTTATGCATGAGTCCTCATGGCATACCTTTCTATGACAGTCATGCCTAAATGATTGGGAATGATTTGGTACATCTGGTAAGCAATCATTTAGTACTACAACAATCTGGCTACCTGGCTCTGTGGCTGCTTCCACTGGGTTTCAGTCTAACAGAACCTGAGGGTACCAAATGCAGAGATAGGGATATAACTGAACTATGCACTTGTTTCCCCCCCACATCTATAATAATGCAGGCAAAGATTTGGTCCTCTGACCTTAGTGACATTGAATATTGGATTAATGATTCAAATCTATATGTAAAACACCTAATTTTTCACTGAAGGTGATGACTTTGTGTTCTAAAATAAGCAAAATGTGAATGTTGTTGTGTGGATTTTTCCGATGACCTTGCACAAACAGCACAGTGGATAAGATGTAAATCGGTTTAGTGGTGTGTACTGTTGTTCAGATCTTCGTGCTGTAAAATGGAATTGAGTGCAACTGCATGGTCATGACTAAAAGGTGTATTTTATGATATGTTTCTTTAAATACATTCAAACATTACACCATCTCAACACACCTTTTTGTAGGAAACCAGTGTTGTGTTTCAAAACTGAAACAGCATTACTGATTCCCGCTTGTATTCTTGTCACCATCACACAATGATTTAAAGCTCCTTTTCACATGTCCACCTCCTGCACACACACCTTGTGTCAGTAATAGCAATACCTTCTGTCTTCTCCTTTCCCTAAAATTGTTTTTCTTTGTGCACTTTGACAAATCTGAGACTTGTGTGAATGGAGGATGTACTGGTTTGTTCTCAGGTGAAAGCTTTAGGTTAGGTATTCAATATGCAAGTTCAATGTGACATGTGTTCACACACATTGTGACCCGATGGCAATAGCTGCACAAGAGTGCAAAGACCCCAACTATTATGTACACACTGTCCGTCTATAGTTCACCTAAAGAGTGTCTGTGCAGCATCTGCTGTGTCAAAAGTCACCCTAACACCCTCAGTGACATCACTAAGTGAATGCGAGTGATGCATTTATTAGGAGAAACATACTGTACTGTATTTGTACCAACTGTAAGGTAAATTAAGCCAATGCTCCTGTCAAAATAAAGGAAAGAAAAATACAACTCACTGAACAATCTGTGTATTTTTTAAGCTGACCACAAGGTGGCACTGGTGGTCCGTGAGCGTGGACTAGAGTCAGTAAATCAGTCAGTGAGCCACTGTTTGGACAATTTGGTGTTTTGTTTCCTCTTCTCAGATGTTTAAAACGGAAAATAATCAAAAGATTTTTCTTTTGTCCTCTTTGCAATGGAAAAAAAAAGATCACAGTACCACATCTGTGCAATTAGTAAAAAATAAATATAGCTACTGTAGAGAATTTGGTGTAGAAAACATTAAGTCTGATTT